AGTTTTACACTTCTCCTTCAGAGAAAACTAACTACTGAGGTTACTCATCATTCGTGGCATTGCCACTTGGGATTAAAGCCCAATTTTACCTGTTTTCAGTGTTCTTTTTATATACCCTGTTACTCTGCAAAATGACATCCTGTTGACCAGGAGCAGGAGAAGCATATGAAAACAGTAATAATTCATAATACTTTGTTACAGAATGTCTGCTTTCACTAAGAAAGCAGTCACTTCCCCTTCCCGCTGCCTCCCACTCCACAGCCTCTGATTTTATGAAAGCCAGTCATGCTCCAGCCATTTCATTGCCCAGCCTCTTCCTTGGTGGGTGTGGGCCTGGGACGTCATTTCTGCCATACAACAGGAGCAGGATCATCAGCATGTAGCTCAGGCTCCAACCCCTTTTGCCATAGGCTACTTTATCACCAAGCTTGGTCTCAGAGCAACTTCCTTTAAAGCCACTCAAATATAAACACTCCTTCAACATCTAGACACCTCAGCCCACTTATGCTGCTGTCCCATTGCCACAGTGGGGATCCTCTTACTGGCATCACCCAGAAAATACTGGATGGAAACTTTGATGGAATTTATGGCTCCTATTCTATTGTGAACAGAAGGGAATTAGACCAAAGAGTATAAGGATTTTGAAGGAGTTAATTTGACTGTGGCACCTGCTGGTCTGTTTCTCAGAGTGCCTGTTTGCTGGAGGGGAAGAATGGGGATAGCATAGTTAGAATCAGTTCCAACATTTCTTTCTCGCTTTTCTAAGCATGGGCTGGGAAGCTAGCTCAGCCTCCACCACAGATTCACAAGGTCACTCCTCCAGTCCATCTAAATCTCATGTTTTAGGGGGAGATGAAATGTGGTCGTCCTGTAGACTCTCCTTCAGTGCCAGGGTACCACGTATACCCTCTAGAATAGAGGGTGGCTGAAGAGGAGAAGTCGGAGATAACTTTTCCTCAGTTTTCTGCAACCAGACTTAGCACTGTCTCAGATATGCGACTCCTGTCCCCAGGGTCTTTTGTCCCCAAGGACAGATAGCTATTCCTAGGGATGTTAAAGTCTCTCTGGGCACATTTAATCTTCTGAATCCAGGTTTAAACTTCATGGTTGGAAAGCTTTAGAAACATCAAGAAGTTTCATGTTTATTATAGTTACCTTGGTTTGCCAAATAAACTTGAAAAACTATCAGTTTCTAGTATTAACCAGTCTGGTTATTCCTGTGGCTTCAACCGACCTCATTGTAAGTCGACTGAATGCTGGTCTCCAAAAAGACCTGTCCACATCCTAACCTTGGTACCTGTGAATGTGACCTTATTTGGAAAAAGTGCCCACGAAGATGTAATTGAGATCAGGAGCTCTAGATGAGATCATACTGAATTAATAGGGTGGACCTCAAATCCAGTAAGTATCCTTACAAGAAGAGAAGAATACAGACAGTAGAGCAGAAACACAGAGCATGTGTGAAGGTGAAGGTGGAGACTGGAGTTATGCACCTATAAAGCAGGGAGCACCAATGATTACCTAGAGGCACCAAACCCTAAACAGGCAAAATAGAATCCTCCCCTAGGACCCTCAGAGGAAGCACTGCCTGGCCAACACCTTGATTTTGAATTTCTGGTTTTCAGAACCATGAGAAAATACAATTCTACTGGTCCAAGTCACCAACTTTGTGGTGATTTGTTATGGCAACACTAGGAAAAATAATATACTGGCATACAGAGACATGGAGTAGGCTGATGGTGACTGCTGCCTGCCTTTCTTGCCCAGGTCTCAACTAGTCTGGCCCTAAAGAGGAAAAAGGTGATGTCATTTGACACCTTGCAGCCACACACCTTCTCCCATCATTCTTGGTTTCACCTCAAAATACAGTCTCCTGCATTTACTCTTTCCCATACTTTAATCCCCAGTGGATGAGTACTGCTTCTGCTTCAACCAACCTCCCTTTTCTCCACGTCCTCCAAACAGACCTGGCTATGTAATTTGTGGGGCCAAATGCAAACTGAAAATGTGGCATCGCTTGTTGAAAATTATTGAAATCTCAAGGCAGGGGCAGCAGTGTATTAAGCCAAGCATGGGGTGTTCATAAAAGTAGTGTCTTCTGCTACCCCACAGATTGCACACTCATGAGATTGCTTGCCTCCGAACTGTTTCCACTTTGACCTTGAAGAAACTTATTCAGTATTGAAATATCCCCCCTTTATAATCCACTCATACTCTGCTTCTTGCATTAGGTGAGAATCAGCTTTCTCCTGGGAATAGTAGGTCTCCTCAGTGTAGAATGCTTATTATCTCACTCTAGGGCCATGGGCGTATGTGATCTTGTAGCTCTCGGGTATTGCCTCGGAAATGTGTACCATGTCTTATATACATGTCCTTGATCCATTTAGGCGCTGCTCCATGGATAAGTACCTTCTGCCTCAACTCTACACAGCTCTCCATTCAGTTCCAGATCATTCTACCACATTCATGGATGTCTTTGGTATCTATCTCATGGCCTCACTGTTAGTGACTTCGGTGTCCATGTAAATAGCCTTTTCATTTCCTTAGTATCCAATCTCTTGACCTTCACTTTACATTAGCCAACCCCACCCAACCAGTTCTTCTATAAACCGTGACATCATTCTACTACTAAAACTTCAAGAAAATGATTCCACTGTGACTACAACTTCTAATTTTTCTCTCCCTCTCATATGATCAAGATTTGTAGTTCTTTAACTTCCTTTTCTCTCCCCTGTTGTCTTCACTATTTTCCTAGGAAACCTTAACTTCATCGCCCTGTCCTTCAACCACTCTCTTAAAAATAAATGCCAACCAAGCCTTCTCCTTGTATTTCCATCAGATCCCTTGACAAAGCCCGAAAGTTGGATTAGTTGAACTTTCTGCACTTAGAGTCACATATATTTTATACAGATTCACATGACTATGGAAATACTGCTCCCACCAATGGACTTGGAAGTAGTTCTTTGACTTATGTTCAGGTTCTCTTTACCATTCCCAACACCAGCTACTGCAAACCTTCAGGTTGCTTACATGTAAGATTGCATTATATCCCCTACTTTCCTAGTAGAAATGGGAGACAATGAAACACCTTCAATCTGCCCCGACTGATGTGGCTCAGTTGCTTGGGCCTCCTCCTGGAAATCGAAGGGTCGGGTTGCCAGTTTGATTCCCAGTAGAGGCACATGCGTGGGTTGTGGGTTTGGGGTGGAGGGACTCAGTCTCTAGCTTGGGCAGTATGAAATCAGTGTTTCTCTCTCACATCTATATTTCTCTTCCTCTCTTTCTTCTTCCCTTCCCTTCCTCTAAATAAATGAAATCTTTAAGAAACTTCAATCATCTATAAATAAATAAAAGCATTATATAAATACTGTTTTAATTTGTTATTTCGTCTTAATTGAAGGAAATGAGCTTATAGTTATTCATTTAAAATTTTTCTTATTAAGCATCTAACTGTACAGGTACTACTCTAGGTACTGAATGTAAAGTTTTCATGGAGCATACATTCAAATGGTTCTGAAGATTTCAAATATGTAACTTAAAAATATTATTACTGAGGGCTAATGATTTTATCAAATTTACCCCAAATATAGGTTTTACAAAACAAATTTTGTGAGCATAAAAACACAGTTGCAGAATCATAAAAATCTAGCCATGGCAGTGTAGCTTATATATCCAAACATTGTGGCATTACTCTCTTCTCTAGACCATTTACACTAAATAGACCTTAGAATAATTGGCCTTAGGTAATATTATCTATTATTATGTAATAAAATAGTAATATGCCTTAGGAATAATGCCCAATAAGTTTTCAAGTCACACTAAAAATCTAAATTACTCTCAATTTCTTTAATTAATATCTTTATGACCGCACAAGTAACTATGTTTTTAGAAAATTAAGTGTACTGGTCAGCATTCAGAAAAATCATACGCTTTATCAACACAGTTAATAAATGTCAATCAACCTTAAAGCCAGAAAGACCTAAGTCAAAAAACTGATTTGGCGTCTTCCTAGGTATTTCAACCTTATTCAGATTATATAACCTTGATAAGCCTCAGTTTATGTGAAATAGAGATAATTATTACTACATTGTGAGCCTGGGGATATTATATAATTTAAAGAACCTGATTGTAGCACCATTAGTATTTTATACAAAATATTTACTTAATTATATTTTTACTTCTCACATAGCCATTGCCTAAAAAGAATTTGGAAGTAGTAGTGAAGTTGCAGGTATCCTAGACTTGAAGAGGAAGCCAGAACACAGCGTCAGTGAGCGTAGGTTGTTAGGAAGACTTTGAACACTAATAATGACTTTCAGGAAACCAGAGATCTCAGGAATTCAGTGAAGACAAACCATCTTTTCAGGAAGCAAAGAGCACCTTAAATTTTGCAGTAGTATCTCATCCACTTAATATGGGACTCAAAGGACACAATGAAATCTTAATAATAAGGACCTCATTTTTCTTGTGAGTACCTAACATTGTTTTCTGCTTTGCTTTGCCTCAAAGTTGTCAACGTTGCACGTTGATTCCCAATCTATTAATAAACTCAAAAACTCAGATTCTGAGTGCAGATAAGAAAACTGTAATTCCTACCGTCTCCAAACAGCTACCATTAGATTAAAGGGCAATCTTATGACTCTTGGAGCACAAAACCATGAGGTGAGCACACACCAGGTCAGCAGGAGAAGTTGCAGTCTGGGAGCAGGGAGAGAAGCGAAATTCCCATACTCACATCAAGCAAATTCTTGACAGAACCTGAACAGCTACCCAGGGATGAGCAAGGATGATCAATTGCTAACGCGCACGCAGGAAGAGTACTGCCCAAGTCGCCAGCGTGTAAGAGCTACTGTGGCACTTGCCAAGAGAGCTCCACTGGGACCCGGGCTGCACCAAGAGCAGGACGCCGAGCTCTGGGAGCTTGGGGGCGGGTCCCAGCGGCCGCTTCCTCCGCCCAGTCGCTGCCACCGCTCGGCTGCACTTCAGCCCAACAGTTCTGACTCCACCGCATCCCTCTGGACTGTAGAGGCGGCAGCGAGCTAGAGCTCGCGTCTCAGCTCCCGGCCGCAGAGAAGCTGGGCGAGCCCCAGCGCCGGAGGACACCTGGCCCAGCACGGAGGGAAGCTCTGCACGCGGCTGGTACGTACCTGGTGGAGGGACAGCGGGAGTGGGTGTTGACGGTGCCAGACTGGACGGGAGGGACTCGGACAGTCGGGGGAGACTGATCCAGCGAAAATGTGGTACGTGCAACTTCCCCATTTTACACCCAGTCGGCAGGGGGTTGGGGGGAGCTTTTCGAAGTGGATGCCCCCCTTCGCTAGAGTGATCACATTATTCACATGCAAACTAGGGTACTTTAAGAATGAACTGGGTGGCTCTGGCCAGCGAACGTAACCGGGGAGGTCCGGCCACCTGCTTTTTGCTCACTCCGACCAGAAGGTAGACACTGGTGACTTGTCATAAGTTGCAGAGCCCTTTTCCACTCACGCAGGCAGTGCCACGTCGTTTTGCTGGGGTTGCTGGTTCCCAGGCAGCCGCTCCGGACCACCGGGTCAGCAGAGACCTGAGTTCTCACCGCCTCTGCCAGCATCGAGCTGAGGGGCTTTAACCAGGTCAACTCACCTCACCAGTACCTTTTTTTTTGCGTAAAATATGGGATAATTAGAACGGCTGATCCCAACGATCCCTGGCAGCTATTGGATTTTACCGGAGCCTAAGACCCGGGCTGTCGCCAGGGAGACATCCGAACCTTACGTGGGCTCAGGGGCTTAGAGGATGGAGAGCCAGAGTCCTGACCAGGGCAGCTGCTGCAGCCCCCCCGGGGAGCTCCTGACGGTGCCTTCTGAGTTGGGGGCGGGGGGAGGGGTGGGGGTGAGGTGCGGGAGATGAATCCTCGTTACCAGCTGTCCAGTCTGGGGTTGGCCAGTTCCTGCTGAGCGATGCTGAGATGCTGAGTCCCATCTTCGCAGAGCTTATCCTGCGCAGCACAGCCCCACTCGGTCCCTTTGGAAAAGCGCTCGGCTTGAGTGGGGCTCACAGGAAACACTAAAAAAAACATTAAGAAAGAAACCAAAAACTGCAGGTGGTGTTAGTCAGAGTCTTGTACGGGACTGGAAAGTGGAGATTCGAGGCTGAAGATCACTTAAACATTCACCTAAGGGCGGGGCGGGAGGCACTAAAAGTCATATTAATGTTTTGGGTATTGAAAAAGTATTGGATTAGATTGATTTTGAGTATTGCATTTCTCTTTGTATACATGTAGATTCAAAATCCCAGATACTTTTCTTTATTGACATTGCTACACATTAAAAAAATTCTTCTGGGGTTTAATATTCAAAAGCTGAGAATTTGGATTATTAAAATTAGATCTGATGGCCATAAGCTCAAGTAATGGGGTAGATTTTGAATTAAGGTTGGTTAAGACCAGCATTTTAAAAACCCTCTTTCTTTCCTGTTAGTACGTCCCCTGCTGGACATATCCTTCCACCAACACTATCTTTAGTAAGTTTATTTTCAAAATAGGTGTTTTGGAAGATCAAGTGATTCAGTTTTGAAGCAAATATACTTTGGGAATTTTTTTCTTAATTTTACTTATTTATTTTAGAAGGGAAGGAAAGGGGAGAGGGAGAGAAATATCAGTGTACGGTTGCTTCTCAGTGCATACCCTGCTGTTTGGGAACAGGCCCCTGCTGAAAACTGGTCTGCAACCCAGGCATGTGCCCTGACAGGGAATGAACTGCGATCGGGTGGTTCGCAGGCCCGTGCTCAATCCACTGAGCTACACCAGACAGGGCAGGAAAAAAATTTTTTTTTAAGTATTTAGTGAGTCACTTTTTTTGTTTTATCTTTACCAGAACTTCTTCAACAAAATATCAAAGGCTAATAATATCTTTATGCAAGATATTTAAAAATGTATCAAATATCACATTTGTTAAATAAATTTCTCTCTTTAGTGAATTTTTAATTAAAATTTTAAATTAGAATCTTTTAGAAAGCTACTCCTTTCAATAATTTAAAAATTTTTTTACCAATTTGTAAAATCATCACCATAATCCCGTTTTTGAACCTGGTCAAAGTCCTATACCACTGAACAAGTTGCATGTCTAAATAAGGTTATTTCAGATTTTCCATTCATTTATACCATATGGATTTGATAGTGTGGAAATGGGGCCAGTCTACCACATGGAGAGGAATCTGTTTTTATCCATTTTCTTCCTGGAGCAGTGGGTGAAAATTTTCAGGGAAAAAAGGAATATTTTCTTTACAGGGCAGATCTGTGTCAGCTTTCTGAGATGTTGTGATTTTTTACCAGACAATATTAAACTTCAAATAAAACCCAGCATAGGTAAGTCCATGGTTTGGGTTCTAGGAGTGAATGCTTTGAAAGGAAATATAAACCTTTCGGTTTTAACTGCAAAAATGGGAGGAAACAGAATTTTTTTATTCACTCATATTTATTTTTACCAACTTTTTAAAAAGTATCTGAATTTATTTTCACCATTAATTATAACATTCTTTGCTCATATGACTTTTAAAAACAAAAGTTACGTATTCCATATATGTCTTATTTTCCATTTAATAAATCATCTTAATATATCTGTCCTAGAAAATAATTATACTTTTAATAGCTGTATAGTATTCTATTAAATTTTAAACTAATCCCTATGGGTAAGTATGCACAATTTCTCCAAATTTGGTTTTATAAACAACATCATAGTAAATATCTCTATTCATAATCTTTATATACTATGCACACTTTATTTGATTAATTCCTTTAAGTAAATTTCCACAGAATTGGAAGGTGAAAACATATTCACTTTTTAAAGATTTTTTATACATTCTAATTTTTTTCAGACATCCAATAGCAATTTCTAGTCAAAATAACATTTTTACTCACATACAGTTTCAAAAATTAAAAATTTAGAAATTAGTGAGGATTGACAGTTCATATTTGTATTTCTTTGATTGCTAGTGAGGCTGAATATTTTTAGTTGGCCAAAATGTTTAACAAATATTTTGGATTTATTTTTATGAGTTCCCTTTTTGTATTTTTTGCCTATTTTAATCCTTTTTTGTCTGTTTCAAGAGCTTTTTATTCATAAAGATATTAACTCTGTGTATCTGTTATGTTACAATTTTTAATCAGTTTCTTTCTTCTTTTTTGCCATTAACTACTTGCTGAACAGTGCTTTGTAGAATACTTTCATTTTATGGGTGTCAAAACTGCTATCAATTTCTTCTCTCATTCTGATTTTGTTACTCTCCAGAAAGACTTTCCCACTTGTAAAAATCCCCAACTACACTTTTTATAGTACTTTGGATGTCTTCTCTTATTTGAAATTTTTATTCTTTGAAAGTTATTTTAGTAGGAACCTAACTTTATACTTGTTATTTTTTAATGGCTAATCTCGTCTTAAATTCATTTGTTCTATAATTGATTCCTTCCCCACTGGTACGAAATACCATCCTGTGCCCCTCCCCACTGAACCTCCTAGGAGCCAAACTTCCTTATAGTTGCCCCTTCCATCAGGAAGCCCCGAAGACTTTCCGCCCACACTCTGGCCTGGCTGCCTACACCGGACCCCTAACTGCGGCCTCCCTGACCGCCTCCCTAAGCTGCCTTGAGACACACTTGTCACGCACACGTCACCCATAAAAAGTATCCAGGTAAAAAGTACCCAGGTTTCGCATCATAGCTGTGGGCTCTTCCTTCACATTACCAATTTGGAAACATATCATTTTGTTAGCTCTGAGAAACATAATTTTCTAATGGTTTAATTCTCTGTTTTTATCATTTGTCTACTTATTTTTTTCCTCTCTGCCTTAACATTTTATGATGCATTGTTCTGTCTCTTTCTCACCTAATTTCTTTTTATTCTTACTTCAAAATCATTCTATAGTGCTCTCTGGAACACCTATTCAATCACAATAACCGCCTCTTAACCTTTGCTTTTTTTCCTGGCCCTGAAACTTGACTCTCCCCTGAGCATCATGGTTCCTGAATCTTAGGGTAGGGAGGTGGGTCACAGGCCCTATTATCCCGCCTCTACAGCACAATTTCTCTGCTGCCTTATAATCACCCCTGCTCTCTGAGCCATCTGGCTGTGCTGTCCTCCACCATTGCTCATTCCTATTATCTGCTCACCATTTGAATAAATCTCTCCTTCATTGAACACTCTAGCAACTGATATACAGTCATCTTTTCCTGTCCTCAACCTGGGTGACTTCATATTTACATCCAACACAACTTCTCAGTTATCTCCACAACTCATGCAGTAACCTTCTCTTTTACTCCTCACCCAGCCACTTTTGTAGCCATACCCTGGGCTTGCTATCCTGTGCAATTAATTGTTCTTTCCTAAAATTTCAAATTCAGAAACTCTCTGGGCATAACATCTATATTCTTTTTTTTTACATTAATCCATAAATTCACACCTATGCTTGTTCATTGGGATGGCCAATAACTTGACCCATCTTTTTTCATTCTCCGTGCTCTTATTGCTTGGAGCCAGACATGTCTCAGTGCTTTCCATTTCCATCAGCTCAAGTCAATGGAGAACCTAAGAATTCTGTGTGCTTCTTGCTAGACCCTTACCACTTTCTTCCCTACAACTACAGCTACCTCAGTCTCACTACCACCTGCCTTGAGTTCTCCATGACCTTATGACCCCCATCTTCTTATTCATGCAAATTATTGCAAAATCCCTGTACTTCCAAGGAGCATGATCAACTCTTCTGGTTTTCCTGGGACTGAGGGATTTCTCAGAATGCCGCATGGAATAAGTCCTTGACATAAAGACTTCAAATTTTTGAAATTCATTATTTTTTTACATGTCATCTCTCTTCATCTTCACTTTTAAGCTATGAGCTATTTGTTCATTGGAAGTACAGCAGGTCCTTGAATGATGTCATTTTCTTATACCATCAGTGAGATGCTGTAGGAACTTAATCTTACTTATATCAACTAGCTTATGTTAAAATTAGTTTCCTTACATGTTGTTTTGCTTAAAGTCTCAGAACCTTTCAATGATATTAAGTGAGGACCTACTGTATGTGGTAGCTCTTACTGTTCCCTCTCCCTCTCTCTATATATGACCCTTTTAATCTAGTGGCAGTTGAAATACTCAGATAACCAAGTG